GTGAAGAATACTCCTTATTTATGAATTTTTCCCAAAATCTAATGTTATAACCCAACCCACTGTAGTTGAGGAGGACTTGGCCATTAGAGCCTGAGCATGGACGTCAAAATTAATACCAAGTAATTTTTAGGGACGAATGCGTAATTTCAAAAACATTTGGGGGCCGATGCAGGAAATCGTATGGATTGGTTTGCAGAATACACACATATCAGGGGTCAAATATGCATCAACTAGAAAATCCAGTGGCAGAGTTGCATAAACAGAAACTATCGGTACAAATTCATCTAATGATATTAAATGATAAAAGTAACAAGAGAAGTTTCATCTAATGACTTTTGCTTTTCACTTTTTCATATTTATCAACCATATTTATATTTAGGTTTGATATCGTGAGGGCATAACTAATGCGTGTGGATTGCTATGTAAGTAGTGTATAAGTTGAAAGACTCTCAATTTATATACCTTTGATATCTTTCTATATATAAAAAGTGCCTATTTAACGGAATTTGTTGGTTTAACGGAAAAACTAACGGAATTTGTTGTTTTAACGGATTATGTAACGGAATTTCTTATTTTAAACAGGCGGCTGCACCTTCTTTCAGTGTTTTTATCATAACTTTGTATTCTGATATTCGATTGAGGCGATTCAAAATGAGTTGGAAAGCTAACTCATCTGGCTACAACTTTGATTCAGACATCATTCTCCAATTCGATCACTTTCTATGCCAAAAATAGGTCTCAATATGAGACTAAAACATCGGAGCATAACTTTTCGGTTGGAAATTGATTTGTGATCATCTTTTGACTAAATTTGATTCCATTGACGTCTTCTTTTATCCAATTGACTCCGAGCACTCTCAAATCTTCATCATGAGGTTCGGCACAACTTTTAAGTATTTACATTTTAGTCCCCGAACTTTGGATCCCTTACAATTTAGCCATTTCTCCAAATTTGTCAACTTTTGCTTATTTTCTTCGATCTCACCAACTTACATCACAACATCAAAATCACACATCTAATTATTTATCAATTACATAAACATTACATCATTAATTATTTAATTAACCAAAAAAATTACATCTTTATTAATAACAAATTAATTCTTAAACAAAACTATTAAATATAAACTAGGCAAACGTGCATTGCACGTTGCTTGCACCTAGTAAATATTAAAAGTGGCTATGTAACGGAATTTCTTGTTTTTAACGGAAAAACTAACGGAATTTGTTGTTTTAACGGACTATGTAACGGAATTTCTTGTTTTAAACAGGCAGCTGCACCTTCTTTCAGTATATTTATCATAACTTTGTATTCCGATATTCGATTGAGGCGATTCAAAATGTATTGGAAAGCTAACCCATCTGGCTACAACTTTGATTCAGACATCATTCTCCAATTCGATCACTTTCTATGCCAAAAATAGGTCTCAATATAACGGACTATGTAACGGAATTTCTTGTTTTAAACAGGCAGCTGCACCTTCCTTCAGTGTTTTTATCATAACTTTGTATTCCGATATCCTATTGAGGCGATGCAAAATGCGTTGGAAAGCTAACTCATCTGGCTACAACTTTAGTTCAGACATCATTCTCCAATTCGATCAATTCCTATGCCAAAAATAGGTCTCAATATGAGACTAAAACACCGGAGCATAACTTTTCGGCTGGAAATTGATTTTTGT